CAACAGAAGAGGATCACACTGGGTAGCGCATCTCAGCGCCTTATGTTTAGCCCTGCATTGATTCTGTTCCTGTAGAAGCACCACATTTTCAGAGATATTAAATATGAATTTGCAAAGTTCTATTTATCCCCTATGTTGTTTGGAATGCTTTTATACTAACACTTTTGTTGCACACCCGTGTTCATTGACCCCAGAGTTTGGTTAGTTTGGATGATAATCTCTATTTTCCGAACTTGGTTGTGGACCTACGAACCATACCAGAGTTTGCTACTGATATGAATGAAACTGCAACGTCCTTTAGAACAGTTATATTTATGGCAAATGTGTGAAATGTGCCATTTTGTGTTGACAGTCAGTCATTTTATCTTTTGTTCTATCTATTGATGTTATGGAATTATTAGTAGAGATTGTCATGTGATCTCAACATGGCTGCCCCATGACCTACTGCTGGTAAAAATAAACTTTTTTTAGGTCGCTGTTATGATTTTTCATCTCATGTGACTTAGGGCTGGACAATAATTCAATATCAATATGTATCGCGATATAATTTTTTTCAGTAACGGTGATATGATTTTTAAACACATTTCCGATATTTCGATATACATTACCAGTTTCCCATACATTGATTTATTTGTGGCGTTTGACTTCATTGAATAAACATGAGCACAGCACGTTTTAAAATCAAAACTTGTCGCGGGTGTTTTATATGAATGTATCTCTGAATTCTTTAAAAAACATTAAAAATCTTACTGTTCAAAAACTTTTGACTGGTATGTTAGCCTATAGTTTGAAGTAAAAAATATTAATATTAATAAGGAGAGTCTGAGATTTATTTGACAGTGATTTCACATTTCTTGTTTGTATGAAGGCTAAATACCAATAAAAGGTGAACATTTATTTATTTGCGCCATTTTTTTCCTAAAATATTATATAGTTTTATAGGAGTAGGTTTCATAGAGTTGGCAAATTAATTTTTCATAAGTTTGTAGGTACAGACATCTGTTGTGGCCGTTTTTATGAGGCTTTTTTAATAGTGTTCATATCGATATCGGAATTATATCATATCGACCGAAATTAAGAAATATATCGTGATATAAATTTTGGCCATATCCTCCAGCCCTAATGTGACTGCACATCATTAAAATGTTTAAAATACTTCTAATTGTCATTTTGTAAGATGATGTATTTATAGTTTCCTTTGATACGCTGAAAAAAATGGTAACCTAAAAATGGTGACAGCTAAATAACCAAGTTTTATTCAAGTCAAAAATATTATTTAATATAGCTAAATCAACCTAAATACATTCATTTATACAAACAAAACTAAAATGTTATATGGGTTAAATCAGGCAGAAATATATATTTAACGTAACAATTGCAGGTTACCACTTTTTGCAGTGTACTCTATCTCTGTAACACATTTCACTCTTATTCAGATCAGTTTTGCAAACTTCCACTTTTTCATCTAGATTCTGAATGCAGATACTGCATGGACCTACTTATAAACAAGCTCTGAAGTTATTTGTAGACTTTTTAGTATTACAGTCTTTTTTATGGCATAAATTCTTATCAAATTTTCCATTATTGTCGGAATAAACAAACACGAATGAATTCTGTAGAGATTTTGTGTGGGCCTGGTTATGATTAAGCCTCTGGCTTATTACTTTGGGTTGTTTTGAAGCTTTTTAACTTCTATTGTGAGTGGTTATAGTGAGTTATCCCATTGATTTAAGACAGTAATGGGGCAATCCCAATACATTTCAAGCTTGTTAATTCTCCTATTTTCCTCTGTCTCTTATTATCCCTCTCTCTGCATCTTTGTGTTGGAGAGAGAGAATCTGTGTTTCCTTAAGCCAAGTTTTTGCAGTATTCATATCACAAAAAAATGTCATCAAGCCAAGACATCCAGTATATTGTATTCCTCTGTCATCCTCTCATATAAAGCAAACAAACCCGAGGGGAAATTTATTGATTGTCAAGACACTATCTAATGTATTTATTCATTTATTTGTCTGTTTTATTATTTAACTCATATCCCATAGGAGTCAGATATAGACTTTTTTCTGGACATAGTAGAGGAAGCGTCTAAAGACACAATCTTGAAATTATTTATTGATTGTTGTCAGGAATTTGGAAACGCGGTGGATGCAGGACTGTTATTATTTTGTCACTGACGTTGTGTGGTGGTGAGAATGTTCAAGCGCACTGTTTAACTACGTCATATCAGTAGCCGTTATATGGAGTCAAGGGTTAATGGAGGGGCCATGAGAAAAAAAAACACACAAGCAAGTTTTACTAGTCGTTTCCTTTCACTGCATGACTGTCTATGACTACAACTATAGCAGTTTTCAGAATATGCTGTTTTCACAGCATACTGTGCTCAGTATGCATGTTTCTCTGTATATCTTTTCTTCAGAAAATGTACATCCATATTTGGAATTATTTGCACATTTTTTGATAGAAATTGCATTGAGGTGCTTAAAAATTATTGGGATCACATATATGGAGCTCATGCATTAACCAGCTAGGCCTTGCATTAACCCTGGCCCTCAAATAAACCAGCTTGCGTCTTTTGACAGTGGTCCAAACAAACCCTCTGTCATCTCCCATGCTCCCACTCAGAACAGCACCTTGAGTTGCTGCAAAGAAATAGAGCACTTTAAAATTTACATATGACCTTTGAATATAGCGATAACTGTAGAATCCACGTATTGCATCGCTGCATGAAAGGCCTCAGGCAAGACAACTCAGGTGTGAAAACAGACTGAATGGAGTCAGGGCCTTTTGAAGAATTCAGTGTTGTGGATTCTCTTGTGTGGAAATCTCCTCTCGTGAAGTTAGTTATCTTGTGAGTTTTGACAGGGAATGGAAGAAGCAGATGGATGTCTGAATTTTAAATTCAGAATTCTCCTCTTCATCATTCACATCTGTTACTCTTCATCTAAATGTGCACCAGGTAACGTTTTCAGGTAAGTGTAGTTTTGTGCAGTGGTGCCTCCACACCAATAGGTGTCAGTATAAAGTCCAAGACCACAGTCGTGTGGTTTCTTAATGATCTACAACAAAATACCCTGCGTCTCAATGTTCATACTATCCATCTTAAATAGTATGTGAGATTAGAATAAGTGTGTCCCAAAGCATCGTATGTTGAAAAGAGTATGCCAAAAGTCCCTGGATGGTCTACTATTTCAGGTCGATTTTTGAAGTGTGGATCCGTGCACACTCTAATGGCTAATATTGCCCACAATCCATTGCGCTTTGGTGAAGGATTCTGTCCAGAACTGCAAACACGAATAAAACGCGTAAAAAAAAACTACAAACATGGCGGATGTGCGCGACCGGTGGTTAGGTAGAGAGGCTTAGAAAAAGGGGTTCCAGTTACTAATATTAAACATTTATTCTGGTAAAAAAAAAATATTTATTTAATGTTATCTGTGTTATATTTCATCTGCAACAGCAATGTGAACTTTTATAAACATCTGTTTGGTCGTTAACTTTTAAATGCATCATTATGCATAAAATATGAGCAGAGTTCTCGGCATGAAAGACCCGCGACTGGCAGATCAACGAGCTACTTCTTTTCTCTCCAATACGGTAGGAAGTTAAATGAAATGAAATGTGGAGGATGTTAACTGTGACAAGATGATTGACAGGCCAGTTTACAGTGACAGGGTACGTGTATCTATGCGACAGAGCATCAGTTAAAGATGCAGTTGTGTGACGTAATAGTATGTCCCAAAGCTTGCCTACTCTTCTACTACACTCTCAAAACAAAGTGTGTACTTTTTCATTCTTTAAGGGCGTAGTATAAGTAGGCACATTGAGACGCAGCAATAGAGATAGCTTTGGTGATAACTGATAAAACTGATTTGGTGATAAAAAAAAGTGAATATTTAATTAATACATTTACAAAAATCTGATGAGGGTATCTCAGTAGACAAGATGTCACATGATCATTGGATTTGGACATGCATATGCTACTTTCGGAGGCAGCATTTTTCAGCTTTTGGACACAGCCAAGTGGTCAGGGTTTAGCAGAGTACCATGGTCCAGTTAGCCCCTGTTGGTCAATGGTGTAACTATACTATTGTACCGCCAAAACAGCATTTCTGCATTGATGGCTTTTCAAAAGTCACTGTATTATGACAAAACAACAACTACCATCTTGACTTTTAATACCCATGACATTGAGCATACTTTGTGAGTTTGTGTTCCTGTAATTTGATTCTCTTGGCTGAAACCTTTTTTCTCGTATGCTTGAACGAACAGTTCTTGTGTGCATTTCCACAGAAGTCTGTCTATGGTACTACCTGTGCCATTAATGAGTCTGCATTTAGACTAATGCAAATCTGACAGACGCATCTGTCAGGGAATGTAATCTTAATAATAACTGACCCACAGACTTTAGATGATATTTCAGAGCTGCATTCAAATGCCTGTAAATGCGATTGTGTATATTTTCAAGAGTTTTGTGTGATTTGCTCTTCTCTGTCTACTGAGAACAGAAAGAGATTAATCTTATCTTGTAACTATGTATGATTAAGTATATAATCATCTTTATGCTTGGTTTATGTCATTTCATTTCCTTGACAATATATTTATTTACTTGCAATTTATCAATTATGGGCTAAACTGTTTCTATAGCAGAAACTGCATATCTCATTGGGAGACAGGAGTGGGTTTGTGTGATAAAGCATTGGAGTGCCACCTAATGGCTTGACAGGCAGATCACAGGCATACTTTGTTGTTGTCAAGTATTAGTGCAACATGTTCATAGTTAATGTGATTCTGTTGTTGCTCTGATAGAACACCTGTGTGACCGATTTAATTCGCTAAAAAACATTAAAAGTCAGTTCTGAGAAAGGCTTTGTATTATTTGTTAACCATTGTTCAGTAGTTTTGGGTAATTGACAGCTCTGGTAATTTTACAGTTTACGTAACTGACTTTGATCTTATTTAAATATGCTAATATAATGGCAGCAACCATTTGTTTTCCATAGGAGGGGAAGAAGAAATTTGACAAGGAGGCAGAAAAGTACTACTCCTCACTGGAAAAACATCTCAACCTGTCGTCCAGAAAAAAAGAATCCGCTCTCCAAGAGGTGAATCATTCAACAAATCAGGCTAAGATTTGCATTTTCCGAAGGAAATACCAACGCTTACATGGCATCAAAAGAATATTAGTGAACTCAGGTTTAGGTTTTAGTCTTAGTTCTGAGGCAGTGCTGTATTAGAAGTGTCTTTCCATCATGACTTCTATCTGCGGTGCACTAGGCTCACAGCAAATCAACAAAGAAGTTTAAATGGTTAAATACGTATAGCAAGAAAGACAACCAATCACAATTCTGTTTAATTTTCTCGAAAACAGAGACAAATAGCACATGCAAGACTGAAATGATGTACATATCTTACAATAATAGTCTTTTTTTGATGCCGACATTGGTGGTGATGTAATTATTTAAAGGGATAGTTCATTTAAAAATGTATTCACCCTCATGCCATTCCAAACCTGTATGACTCGTTTTCTTTTGTTAAACATAAAAGGAGAATTTGAATTATGTATATTCTGCTCTTTCCGTGCAATTATAATGAATGGGAACCAATTAATAATAACACACAAGACATGTGAACTACTTTTATAGTCCTTAGTGTTCTTTTTGCAACTTGAAAGCTTGAATTTTTGTGTTTTACAGAAGAAAGAAAGACATATGGGTTTGGAACAACATGGGGATGTGTCAATAATGATAACATTTCCATTTTTGGATGACTAATCCTTTTAAAAACAAGCGTTTAAAAGCTTCAGTTCCTGTTTTTTTCTTTCGTGCTGTTCAGTTGCGTTTGCTTAGCTTGTTGTTACACAGATTCTCACAAAGCTGAGCCAGAAATTCTCACATGTATCCATTAACCAAAGCCCAAAATGAGCAAACAAGCCTGGCAGCCATAACTTTCTCTCCGTCTCTAGGGTAACAGCGCTCTTTGTTCGTTTGCAGACTGACGCTCAGATTGATAAGGAAAGGCAACTCTTTCATGACGCCTCTCTAGAATACGTCTTCAAAATCCAGGAGGTTCAAGAGAAGAAGAAATTTGAATTTGTTGAGCCGGTAAGATCTTTCTGATACATAAAATGTCCTCTTATATTCAGTGACAAATATACACGCTCACGCTCACAACCGCAAAACATATAGTCAAATGTGTATCCTGCAAAAGAAATCAGATGCCCATCATGCAGTGTGCTGCAATGAGAATCAAGCCATCTGGTCAGTAATGGTTTTGTAGCCAACAGGAAGTAGCTGGACAGTTTATGGAGACTGGAGTCATAATCTCACTGTTTTATCATGCCAAATTACAAACCTCAGCTCTCATTTCCTGTCCCACAATACCCCTGAGCTATTAAAGGTACAGTTCACCCAGAAAATTCACCATCATTTGGTTCCAAACCTGTATGACTTTCTTTATCTGTGGAAGGCAAGGTATTTTGAAGAATGTTGCTAACCAAACAGTTTTGGTTGCCATTGAATTCCATTGAATGGACAAAAAAACACTGAGACATTTCTTAAAATATCTTCCACAGAAGAAAGAATGTGAGTGAATGAAGACAGAATGATGACTTTTCATTTTTTGGTGAACCTAACATGGTCAGCACTGGTCAGTAAAAAATATCAATTTAAATGCAATCCAATAGGAAATGAAAATCTCACATTATTGCAGAAATTGAAGCAAAACTGATCCTTCCTCTTAAAGTAAAACAATAACTGAAAGTTTTCTGCAGTTAAACATAGTTTGAGAGGAAGACCTCTTACTGTTCTTTTTTTCAGCCCTTTTCATGTTTAGCATCTAAATCTCCACTCAGCAGACAGATCGCGTGATATACACAACAGCTGGACCTCACATATTACAACAGTGGATAGAATTTGCATGACTCATTTCTGCATTAAGCATATTTATATGCATAAGTGTGAGCGGTACAGTGAGCTAGAGCATCCAGTGTTTATCACCTGGCATGGGAAAAAACGATGCTGTTAATCTCCCAGAAGCACCGCAGTCTGGTCTGCTCTTGAGTTTCAGGGTGTGACATCAGCATCTTTAAAGTATTCTGCTAAAGTCACTATCAGAAAGTCAAATCTTTGCACAGGCCTCGAGGATAAGAAAGCTGGGATAACTGTAATTATTAATAGATGGAACATTAGTCCTAACTTAATGCACTCACCGTACACTGAAGAAAATGGCTTTGAACCAGTTTTCACTCAGAAATTGCTATTAAATGTCACAAATAATTTCAAAAAATATCAAGTAACACATTGATTTAAGCGTGAAATTTTGAAATAGAAGGACTGGTATTTTCTTGTAAAACGTGCCAGAAACTATTTTTACGTACTGCTTTGAAAAATTATTCTTTACAGTGTGTACATCAGGTCTGTGCAACAACAATTTTTTCAATTATGAAATGATTAATTTAGTATATTAAGTAAATGTCTTTTTAGTCATTTGAGGTTGTAGGGTTCTAATTTCTTTCTCAAAAATCAAATCGTATCATTTCTCCTCTTCCCTAAGTCTGACTTGTACAGACACCTAGTGGTGTGGATGCAGAAACATGCAAAAGCGAACGTTTTCAATAACCAGTGCTACTGTATTAATTTATATTTGTCAGCAAAAATATCCAATAATATAAAGATTTACAGAAAATTGCTTGTCATGTGATCTCAACATGGCTGCCCCCATGAGGCGACCCTCTCCATGTAAAATTAAACACGGGGTTTTTATTGGGCTACTGATAACTACAGTCTTCATATCAAGTGAGTGTACATCATTTTCACACATTTCACAAAATTAATATTGATTTATTTATTTCTGTCTTAAATTTTAATGAGGAAAAATACTCCTATTTTAACACATTGTAGAGAACATTGCGCTTAACTTTGTGTGCAGGACTTGTCAGGCTTTTGATTGAGCCGTTATGTGAAAACTTCAGAATTTACAAACTGACACAAAACATTGTGAAATCCCTGTTTGCACTGAGAAAGAGGACGAGATGGATATGTTGTGCAACAAGCATATGATGGAAACTTATTTACATCTTGCTGTATTTATATCTCTTTGGGGTTGCAGCTCTTGGCCTTCCTACAGGGTCTGTTCACATTCTACCATGAGGGTTATGAGCTGGCCCACGAATTTGAGCCCTACAAACAACAGCTACAGTTTAACCTGCAGAATGTAAGTATAGAGCCATCCAGCTTCTCTTTCATTTTTTCAATTACTGTAGCCTCTTTTTGACCAAAAAAAAGTGTTTTTACTTTTGAAAATATTTATAAAGCCACATGATGTTTTGCCTGGCACATATAAAAAAGTTTTGCATCCATTTTGCCCTCTGTTTTCATGCTGTAACCTGCTCCGTTTGTCTTTGATCAATATTGGCAATATTGACCACTTCCTGCTGCTCATCAGCATCTCTGTGTCTGGGTTCTGTGACCTTTAACCTTTGACTGTCACTGTAAACTCAAAGCTGATGTGGTGTCACAAAATGTCAGCTTGTTCTAAAGCACAAAAGACCTGTGCTGCAGCACTATGTCAGCACTGCGACATATATACGCTGAAATAATGCTGCTGCGAAAGCGTGAGACATTAGCCTTAACAGTATTTCAGTACCGCAGGACAAGCACCTTTTATATTGTAGGAGTGGTATTAATAATTCACAGTGATGTATTTGCCTGAGATGTAAGTACTCTAGAGCAGTGTTTCCCAACCTTTTTTTAGTCGCGGCACCCTTTTGAAATTTTAACAAACTTGTGGCACCCTACAAAATTAATTGTCACAATATTTGAATTTCTAACTTCGATATGATAATTTGAAAAGTATAGATATTCAGTACAACAGGGAAGAACTGCAGAATATAATGTCATACAGATATTTTTAATATTATTAAAAAATTTTGTCCATCAATGGTGGCAATCAGTAGGCTAATTTCTAATGAAGAGACCAATTTATATGACGGATTTTAATGTAGGCTTTTATACATATGTAAACATTATTTAATTACCATTATAACTAGCTATCTCACAAATTTTTGCTCACTCAGTGTTTTTTTAATTTTACAGTGGGGTAATTTTGGTGCAGTAGCACAAGATAGTTTGATTTCATACTTTGAATTGAATAAAAACAAGTAAGCAGTCAGTAATAAAATAAGCACAAATAAATAAATTAATAATGATAGCACAAATAAAAAATAACGACAGGCCTTCGAATTAAATAAATTGCTTTTTAGTTTTAGGCCTATTTCTCTCAAATATTGTTCACAAATCTGTCTAAATCTGTGTTAGTGAGCACTTCTCCTTTGCCGAGATAATCCATCCACCTCACAGGTGTGGCATATCAAGATGCTGATTAGACAGCATGATTATTGCACAGGTGTGCCTTAGGCTGGCCACGATAAAAGGCCACTCTAAAATGTGCAGTTTTACTGTATTGGGGGGTCTGGGGGGGGTCCGAAAACCAGTCAGTATCTGATGTGATCACCATTTGCTTCACGCAGTGCAACACATCTCCTTCGCATAGAGTTGATCAGGTTGTTGATTGTGGCCTGTGGAATGTGGAATTTAAAAAGTTGCTGTTCCTATGATCTGTTTGTGTACATGTGTTTTTATTTGTTGGATGAAGACAAGAAACAACTTTCTGAGCACCAAGCAAGAAGTAGAAAAGCTGATGAACAGAGTTCGATCTGCAGATCAAGACCAGAAGCCCCCAGGCCAGTGGACAATGGAAAGCTACCTCTATGTCCAGGAGAAACGTGAGTGTTACAGTCTTTCAGACACTAAGAATGAGCATACCAGCATCCATACCAGACACTTTTTAAAAAATATATAATGATAAGTCTAGAATTTGGTTTTCATTTTTATCTTCCTTAAGTGACCTCACTTTGGTCTTATCCTGTGTTTTTCCTGTTTCTTCATACTGCAGAGGAAATGCCAGAATTAAATTGCTCTCCACATGTAAACAGTTAGATTACATTCTTAGAATTAGATTATAGAATTTCAGATAAGACAGTGAATGACCTGGTCTAGGAAAGGATAACATTGCCCTCTGGTGGATGGATACTTTATATATTGTATAATATAATTTTAAAACAATAGATTTTAAAATCCAAACATATTAAATGATCCCAGTAAAGAAATAAAAGGTATACATACATATTAAATACACACTTTTTTTAAACATTTTAAAGAAATATTCTAAATTATTCTATAAATGTATTAAAAATAAAAATAAATAAAGCTAATTGTAGGTACTTTAACCAATTAAAATAGGAAAACTGAGTTTGTTGTAGTCCATTATTTGCTTGCATACCTATAATGTATTGTGTTATTGTAAATGTATTTTCTTGTTTGTAAAGTACATTTTGTAATATTTGGTGGTGGTGGTGGG